AATTTTATCTGAGAAGTACATCGATTTTTTATATATATATATTTTTTAAGTTGAATATTCAATTAAATATACATTAGACCATTAATAGAAAATTTAAATGTATTTGAATAAACATTTTCAGTATAATTTTATATAACAGTATACAAGAAAAATATAAAATATATGTAATAAAGGATATATCTGTACAAAAGATATCTTATAGTTAAATTATTGCAACACAAATAAAATATGTGTGTGTGTGTTGTGTGTGTGTGTATACAGGTTATATCTCGAATATAAAAGAATATCCGTAATCTGCATTACTGTTATCTTCTTTCTTCAAATATTTTCAAAATATACGTCTGTTATTAGCATATCTAGATAATCAAAAGAAGATTTTGTAAAAAGTTTCCCATAGATTTTATCAAGGAATATTGACAAATATATATACTGACAAAATTTGTTAGTAGAATGATGGCAAATTGACTTTAGAAATTAAGCAGTATCCGTTATTTCTGTGCTATTTCTTCCATTAAATGATATTCTTTATTTATATGGTTAAAATGATGGATTCTAATATATTTCTACTGATAATCAACTATTAGGTTATATTAATAAGATCTATTAGTAGAATACATGTTTAACGACAGTTGTTGCTGTCACATTTTATTCGAATCTGCTAATAAATTGCTAATCTTTAATTTAATTGTTAATTGGCATATTGCTCACATCAAAAATAAAATTTTTTTTCCAAGAATCAAAATAATTTTAAAATTTCTCATATTTTTAACTGAGATAATCTGCTTCATGATTAAAAACATATTCTCTTGTTTGTAACAATTTGTGACAAGGAGATCATCTTCACACGATCATCTCTGCATGAAAACAATTTAACCTCTTTCTAAAAGATTCTAAAATGGCTGTGTCATCTTTATTACATACCTTCTTTCGAAATCGCAGTCGTGCAGTTAAAGGCATCATCGCCAGTAGTTTCAGCACCAGGATGCTGCCCCAAAAGCCGAAAGAGTTGAGTACTTCTGGATTTATATCAGGCATCTTTTTTGCCTTTCAATTTGCCTTCTCACGATCTGTAGATGATGATTCTACTTCGAAGCACACAGTTAATAGAGATACTATTCCTTCCACGCGTTGCATTCTTTATATCAACTAACGCACACACTTTTAAACTCGATAATTCCTGCTATGTGCACGCACATACATGCGCACACATTATCTCTCAATTTACAAAAAGATATATATATATCTACTTATATCTTCGTTTAACTTTTGAAGATAATTCATCAAGATCTCGAATAAAAGCGTGACAAAAAAAAATATTTTGTTTTTAGCAGGATATATTTATTAACTAGCAGACAGCTCATGATGTTCTCATATCATAAACAATTTTGACATGCAATTAATTTTTCACGTAACGTTATAAAATACTTCTTAAATGTATTTTAATTCATTGAGTGAATTCTCAAGTATTTACATCACGAAATGTCATTCGGGCAAACATGTGTAAGTTACATAAAGAAATCATAAATATTTATGCTTTCGATGCACCTGTTATATTTCATGTAAAATATATTTTTAGATCTTGCAAGAAAGAAAATAATCATGAATAATCAAGAAGTTTTGGAAAATAAAAATAACTCGAGTTAGTCAAGGACGACTAAGTTGAAAGAGATTGATGACCGTTTTCTAATACATAATATTTATCTGATATTGAATTTTAAATCTTCGTACAATCCAAGATTAGGAAAACGTTCACATTTTTTTCATTTAGCGATATTTAAGAGTCAAAGGTTAGAAGGTTACTCGAACCTCTTCTTGATCTAATCCAACCTCTCGTCTATCGTTCGACAATAAGATCATCCTCATAAACTGCGTTTGGAAAGATAACAGTTGTGCAACGCGAATAACGGTTGTTCTCAATTGGAAACGTGCTGTCGGATCGACTAATCAAATTGGTCCCTCGTTCGCGGCTACGTTCTCGACGTCACGTGATCGCAGTCCACCATTGGCGGTTCGAATTGATATCTCCGGCCAATCATTTCGCAAAACACACATGATCGTCCGCTCGCTTGTTAGAAACTCTCCGTTTGCCTTCACGATACGCGAGGTGAACGTTCCGATAGTATCGTGGAAGGTTCTCGAAACGGCCGCGTGTAACGTAACGCAAATGTCCATCGACGGTAGACACGCTCGGCCAATATTCCGCCATTTTAAGTCAATTCCTCGGTCAAATAAAATTAATACGATCCATTAACTCGGATTAAAACAAGTCGTCGTACAAATAACAGAGCTGGATGACAACATTTTGAAGCGCGTTTTGCTCGTTTCTGAAAAGCGTGGAATTTAATATTTCCGATCTTATCAATCCGTTAATCCCCGTTTCTAATCTAATGTAAATAACAGCCGCCGCGAAAACAACACGCGGTCGCGTTTGCCTTCCGAGAAATCTCTAATCACACTCCCCCGTCGAAGGTTTTTAAATTGGGTGACTTCAGAACGGAGAAGTGAGGATTGCGCGTGCGCGACAAGCAGCTCGCTGACGCAAGGGAGTACGTCAGCTGTTTTGTTAAACTCTCGCGGCGGAGAGACGTGCGTGCGTGCGTGTATGTCCGTCTGTCTGTCCGTCCGTCCGTCCGTCCGTCTGTCGTCATCATCGTCGTCGTGTCGTCGTAGTCGTCGTAGTCATCGTCGCCGTCGTCTTGGAGGTTGTAGTTGTCATCGGAATCGTAGTGTTATCGTTGTATTGTCGTTGCCGTCGGATATGGTGCTGCATTGTTGACTTGGTGGGGCATCTCTCTCTCGCGCAACTTTCGTCGTCGCACGGTAACGGGCCCCCGCGCACCTTTGTTCGTCGTACGCGCGCGTGAGAAAGACTGCGTGCGCGTTTCCGGGCGATTCTGCGTGCGACGGAGGAGTCGTGTGGACGCGCGCGTGTATCTCGCTCGCTCGCTCGCTCGTTCATTCGCGTGGATCCCCACGGATCCAAATCGTTCAAACGAGAACGATCCGGATTGATCCCGCGGATTGAGATCGGTCCACAGTTCAGCCGAAGGTGCGTCCTCGTGAGGGAGACGTCCGTCCACGCGTCCGTGACCGCCTGACGCGACGGGACGTTCTCGCCCGCTCGGTCGAGTGGTAGACACTTTGTGATATTCCGAAAACGGGGGGAAGAGAGAGAGAGAGAGAGAGAGAAGAGAGAGAGAAAAAAGAAATATCGAGTGAACGACATGGCACAGCCGACGAGCAGCGCGTTACGGGCGCTCGCCCTGGAGTACAAGAGCCTGCAGGAGGAACCTGTCGAGGGTTTCCGCGTCAAGCTGGTCAACGAGGACAACATGTTCGAGTGGGAAGTCGCGATCTTCGGCCCGCCCGACACGCTCTATCAGGGCGGATATTTCAAGGTATCCCCTGTCGCCGCTGCTAGCCACGGTCGCTGTGCTGTTTACGGTGTATACGTGCGCGCGTGTGTATTATATATTTACGCAAGTCGCGCCAAGCAACGGCGGTATCGACGGTGCGTCCGTACGTTTTATGCGCGCACCGTCTTGGTTATGTCGCGGCGACAACGACGTCGCGTCGCGTCGCGTCGCGTCGCGTAGCGTAGCGTAGCGTCGCATCCCGTTGCGTTGCGTCGCGTCATATCGTCGCCGTTCCTTTCGCTTCGAAAACAACCGGGGATTAATCGGAGTTCTCCACGGAGGAATCGGGAGTTTTTTTGATCATTCACCTCGAGAATGATTCTACCTGTCCTCGCATCATTGTAAAGCGTAAACAAAGGACGAAATCGTGCTAGCTGCGGCTTTTAAATATGTCGCATGGCGACTTTGCGTTTATACGTATATATGTATGTGTACACACACACACACACACACACACACACACACACACACACACACACACACACACATATATAT